CCCCCCCCCCCCCCCCATGCGACTTGCCGAATATGGCGCTTCGCGCTTGGTGCTTCGATAGCCTGGTACGGCGAAAAACCGGCGTGCTCCTTCCCGGCATTTTAGGGATGCGAGGTCGATGGTCTGACGACGACGGCATGCACGGCTATGGGTACTCCCCCAAGGCTCTCTCACCTCAACAGCGTGCGTCCGAGCTGGAAAGAAATCGCCGCCGCGATGGTGGCGCTGGTGAGCACCACCGCGGTGCCCCCGGCCGCCCCGAACAGGAATCCCGCCGCCGCCGTGAGCGGGATGGCGGGAATGATCAGCACCTCGGCCAGGACGTACAGCAGCCCGAAGTACACGACGCCCAGCGGTCCCAGCTCCTCGACCTTAGTGACGCTGCTCGAGAGGAAAGCCTGCACCGCGGTGCTGGGGGCGCTGTGCCCGGCCTTTGCGGTCTCGACGGCAGACTCGACGGTGGCCGAGAAAGGGCCGCCGCCGCCGCCGCCGAGGGTGTGATCGTGAAGCCTAGGTAGGGGGTACACGGTGGTGTACATCGGTCGTGAGCATAGTAAGTACCATGCGATAAGATTTTCCTTCATAAGCCGAAGCTGACCATTATGGCTTGGATTTCGGCTTCGTTCTTCCCTGATTTTGCCGTGGGTTTTGCTTGTGCTTGTAAAGAGCGCTGCGTAACCGTTGGGGGAAAAACAGGGTATACTCCGACCCTTATCGGACAAACATGACGGGAAGGGTCGGCAAAGCGATCCCAATGCTTCGTGGATACCCCGGATTGGGGCTTCTTAGCCGAGGAGATGCAAGACCGGACAAAAGAGATGGTACCACACGTCATGACAGCAGTTCAGCAAAAAGAAAAACAGCACACCAGATGTGAAAGATTGTTCGAGGGATTTTCGGGGGAAAATGAATCGAACATGCTCTACCCCCCCCAGGCGGGACACATGCAAGTCGTTTTGTGCTGGGCCTCCAAGAACTTGAAACGATGCCCCACCTGAATCGAGAGAAACACATTCATCCAGCAGTCGAGCGATTGATGGGGTTGTGACCAGCAGAGTCGACCATCGGATCGAGCTGCGACACTGCCGAAGACCAATTTGCATCGCACGCGCATCACGATGCCGAAGGTGTGCATAAAGAGAGCGCACTGCTATGTTTAGCGTCGCGGCCGTTACGGGGTGTCCGCATCGACAACATATAGTACATGCTGAATTAGCAGCAGCATCCTCCCGGCCCTCACCCGTAGTATAACGCGCCCAGGCCGGCGAGCGCGACCGCTCCAAGCATCGCGTTGAAGCCCTGGCTCTTCGTCCCGCTGTCCTCCTCAGCCATCGACATCATCACCCCCCCCATCCTCCTCCCCCCGGCGGCGGCGTTGTTGTTAGCGACTACCACTCCTTGCCCCGTCCAGCGCGATGAGAGGGCCGACTGTCCGAACGTCCTTTCGATTCCCCACGCTTGGCTGCTGATCGGTGCGAACGCCAGTCGCCGACAGTGTTGCCGCTGCTGCTGCTGCCCCCCCAATCTGTTACTACCTTGAGAGGGGTGGTGGTACGAAAATGTTCCTCCTCTTGCTCCTACTCCGACGTGCATTGTTTTCGTCGGTGGCGGTGCTACTCGGCCCTGCTGCTGCACAAGTAGCGCCGGCGCCGCGGGTACCCAGGCTTCGGCGGCGGGGACGATGCTTTGCGCGCCGAGGCCGAGGCAGGCGCATAGCATCACCTGGGTTGTGTAGAAGAACGGTGCACATACCAGAACATTGGGGTTCATGGCACAGCTAGAGGTACAATACATGGTAACCAGGATGCGTGACTCTTGCTGTTAGAGAAGGGGGGAGGGAAGGACTTCTTCAAAAACCGCACTTGTGTCCGAGTGACGCGCTGAATATCGTTTTCCGTACCGAGCTGCGCATGTTTCGGGTAGATGGGTCGCTGCTGTCACCCACAAGAGAACGCTGCGGGTCGTTGAGAGCAGCAGGCTTGTGCAAAACAACCTCGAACATCGCGAGAGAGAAAGGCGCCCCTTCTCGAAAAACCTTTTCACTGCGTACACAACGGCGGGCATGACATGACAACTCCGGCGAATCAAAGATGCGACGCTTCGCAAACCTTGAGTTTCGAGCGCCTACACCGGGGCTCCAGACCAAGCACAACCAGTCCCGACCTGCTCAGGTCAAGGCTTCACACGAAGCAGAGGGCTCTTGCGTCAACGTTACTTTCATGGCACCGTGATCGCGCAGGAGTCTACAATGACGTCCAAGTACGTGTACATGAAGCTGACGATGACGCGGTGCTGCCGCAGAACAAACCAGTGCTTCACCTTTTGTCTGCGGCTTTGCCAGGAGCACGCGGGGCGTGAACGGCGCCTTCGCTGCTGTTGGATCGGCTCCATCATTTCTTCCACAGAGTTTCCCGCTGCTGGTGCGAGATGGACGGGGAGCTTTGGTTTTGCGTGGGGCTTTTTTAACATACCTGTGGACACCCCCACGTGCCCCAACGCCCCGAGAATTGCGGCACCGTGAATTGAATGATGACTCATTCATTACTCACCACGTTTGAGCTTTCTGCGTGCCCCGGGCTCATCACACGCACAAACGCACCCCCGGTGCTTCCGCCCGCCGACCTACTAGCCTTTTCTACTTCTATAACGGAGTTCATACTCTGTTTTCTGTACAACACTGCTGTACAGCATGGACACCCCCTGGACTATACATCGAGATATGGAACGCAGGAATCCATGCGAGGGCCATGTCAGAGAGCTCTTTGCACTCTCATTTCTCGTTGAAGGCAGGAAAACACAAGCACACATGGTACTAAATAAAGAATGCACCTACCTGCTCAATATCTTTTCTCGTAAAAAGTACACACGCCTCTCTCAATTTTTCGCGCTTCGCGCGAAATAGTTTAATTCCCCAGCTGGACCCCTATNTAGGCACCCCCTGGACTATACATCGAGATATGGAACGCAGGAATCCATGCGAGGGCCATGTCAGAGAGCTCTTTGCACTCTCATTTCTCGTTGAAGGCAGGAAAACACAAGCACACATGGTACTAAATAAAGAATGCACCTACCTGCTCAATATCTTTTCTCGTAAAAAGTACACACGCCTCTCTCAATTTTTCGCGCTTCGCGCGAAATAGTTTAATTCCCCAGCTGGACCCCTATCCATTAAATCCGAGCCCTCACTGCTGTGGCTGCTCTGCTGCTGGCTCTCGGCCTGCACACGTGCGCGCACCCATCTCTGCTGAAGAGGTGAGTTGGTGTTGTTCGAACTCAGAGGTTGTGTGTGTCTTGGGTAACGTTTCCCCTGCTGTTGCTGAGAAATTGGCTGACGATTTTTGGCACATAACGACCTTCAGCATCGTACCCAAGGTCCTCCACCGATTGCTGGACGATTGTTGGGAGGTCTACTCGGTAGGGGGCGATGCAGCAGGCGGGTCAGCACCATCTGTCCAACGTCACGATCTTCGATGTAACAGACCTCTTGGAGATCTTTCATTGCTGCTGCGTGACAATGGGTCTATGTGTAACACGTGAGAGCACTCGGTACACGCGAGTGCTCGCTCTGGTGGTCGCGGGAATCCGTTGGCCGGGTAGAACACCGCCTTATTTGGATGCATGGCACGGCGGGGCCTAAGCCCCGAGGCCACAAAATCTCCCGTACAGAGGGAAGCCTTTGCCAGCATCACGAGGCTCCCCGACTGCTCCCTGACATGCACAATATATAGACAGGATGACAGCCCGCGAAAGTTCAACATGTCAGCATCTTTCGCGTGCCTCGCGCGGTCGCTTCCCACTAACAGGCGGTGTTTGCGGAGGTTTGCTTGTCTACCTTGTTGCTCGTCTGCTGTATGCACTTGCGACGGGTGGCGAGAAGAGTTTCGACGAGACATGGTGAGTGTCGTCAACGTGCACGTGTTACGAAGTAAGCTTGACCGTGGCACTTAATCGGCTGACCAACGTAGAGGCCGTCTCAGTCTAGAAGTGGGACGAAAAACGCGAACGGCAGCAGCCGAGTGCTGCTTGTCGGGCAGTTTGTTCTCCCCTGTCTGGCGTGAGTGTATACACATGTACCCACTGCTGCGCCCTACAGGGCGTGTGTGTTCTATAACGCAAATTTCGAGATGGACAAATTTACACCCAAGCTTCCGCACTGCATTGTATGTTGCCGTGATGTACATGCCCCTTTTTCGCGGCTGTAGGCCGATGAAGACCACCCACAAGGTCAAACCTCCGCCGGGGGGGAGGGCCTCGTGCAGGAGTCCACTGACTTGCGATGGGAGGGTCACCGCCTACAAGGGGCCCACATCGAGCTAAGCCTGCGGTTCGAAGACACAACTCAAACGCTGGAGAGCAAGGGGGACCGCGAGGCCCGGGCGGCGATGCTGCGGCTGGCGAAGGAGTTCAAGCAGCTCAACGACGGCCTGGCGGCGAAGCTCGCGCGTATCTCGATGATCAACCGAACGCTGGTGGAGATCCTGAGGAAGAGCGAGGACGGGCAGGCCGCGCTGATGATGCGCAAGGCCGCGGAGTTGCTCGTGAAGGTGCGATGGAGGTTATCTTTGTATCTGTCTTCGGCGGTCCTCTGACTGCCAGAGCAATTTTATTTCGTTGCCGTAACGTGAACACGAACCTCTCGGCAGACGACTTTTGAACGTATATCTCCGCCGGAGGTGGCGTGCAAGGCGAAGAATTTTAGGTTGGGGGCGAGGTTGCGAGAGATCAGACGATTGCTCTCAAATTGCACGATTCACGCAAGCGTCTCTCCACCTTTTTTTGTCTGTTCGCATCCATATTGTTCGCCATCCTTGCAACCTTGATGCAGTACCGTATATGACACAAGATAACACACCCCGTTGACCAATTTTCGAAGCTCGATTTCTCAACTGCAGGAACAGTCACAGCGCCGAAAACGGCGGCGTTGAAACCGTCTCGTCGAGAGCTTTTCGAAAATGTATCGTTTTGTTTATGCATCCTCTTCGTCGTGGGGTAATCGAGCTTTGAAAATCGGTTCAGGGGGTGTGTTATCTTGTGTCATATACGGTATGCAAGACACGATTTATCATCTGCATCAGCTACAGTAAGAAAAGCGATTTTGAATCCTGGGACATTTATTGGCGCATATGTCCGTCCGCCAGCGCTTGATTCTCGGGATGCATCCCGCTCTCTTCATGCGACTTGACAAAGCACCCCGCCCGTGGTCCCGCTGTATCATGGGGCTGCTTGTCTTATCGCCTAATACGCCGCCGGATCAGTCTTGGCGTGCGAGAGCCTATTGTTCGACAACAGTGAAACTCCGGCGACGCGTGACGCTGAGAGAAGTACTGTCCATCAAGGACAAATTTTCTGCCCTTTTTTTTTGTTGTTCCAGGTTAAAACTGTACAATATGTCGAATTGGAGGAATTTTCAGCCATCGCAGGAATCCTCCCCACATCAAGGCAAAAAACAAAGGCTTTAGCCAATAGGCACACTCCCAGAGCCCGGACCCCAACAAACCTGTCACCCGGTCTCTTCCGGGGCCCTGTTGTCGCGGGAGCCCCGGGACTGGAACACCACCGTCTGTGTTCTTGCCGCCAAGACTGTCGTGTTTTCATTCGCCGCCCCAAGGTTAGCGCGACCGAGGCAATCCATCGAAAACACTGCTGTGCGCCAACGTCCCTGACAAACCGGCGTCGTGCACACCACTGCGCTCCGTTCCTATGTGCAGGGGTTGGCGAACGCCGAGGAAGAAGTGTTCTCCCTCAAGGCCAAGGCCGGAGAGCTCGAGAGGCAGCGAGACCACTACAAAGCCCTCCTGGCGACGACGAACTCCGAGCTAGACATCTCCCGGGCTCACGCCCAGATAAGCGAAGCGCTAGGAGGAGAACCGGCGAACTCCTCCTCTTCGGGCGGGGGAGCGGGGGGGGGGGACGATGCGACCATCAGGCGTTCCGCGAGCAAGGGCGGGGGCGGGAGGGCCGCCGCCAGGGGGAAAGGGAAAGCCCCGGCCCCGCGGTCGCAGCGTCGCAGACCTGGCGATGGCACAGAAGCTCGGGCGACAAGCGACGGCGGTAGCGACGGCGGCTCGGTTGGAGACTCGCCACTGGCGGCGGCGGCGGCAGCGGAAAGTAATAATAGGGGTGGTGGCAACAGCAGAGGGAGCAGCACCGTGTGGCGGGGGGCTCGGATTGCGGTGCCTGGAGGAGGCGGCGCCGCCGCGGGCCGGGGTAGCAGCCGCAAACGGGAGGCTCGCCCCCCTGCCGCCGCAGCAGCAGCAGCTACGATCGGCGGCGGTGTTGCCGCCGCCAGTGCAGCGGCGTCGACCAGACCCGGGCCGAACAAACGCCCGAGGGAGGCTATGGAGACCGCGACAGACGCACGTGGGCGAGACCGACTGGGTTCCGTTGTCAGCGGCGATAACACCAAGGACGTGGAGGAGGAGGAGGAGGGAGGGCGCCAGGGCGAGGGCGGCGACGGCGTAAGCTCCGCTGCTGAAGGGGGGATAGGCCGACGGCAAGGGGACAGAGTCGGCGACAGCGGCGGGGGTGGCGTGGATGGTAGTGACGGCGGCGGGGGGGGTGGCGACCCCGAGAGCGACTACAACTCGGACGACGCACCGTCCATGTTTTTCTGACGACGAAACGTTCCGTTTTTTTGCGGAATCCCCGTGGTCTGTTGACTTGTATCGTGACGTCGTTGTGGTGTTTTAATATCTATGAACGTTAAATAGCGTAAATGTCCGCATAATTTTACGCAGCCGTTGTCTTGCTCGTGTGCTTCACACAATTTAGTTGTAGCTTGGTGTCTGTTTCCGTGTACATGCACAACCGGTTTAAACCCGGTATATCCTGTCCCACGTGTTCATTCAATGCAGGGATGTGAGCGAAGGAAAAAAGACGTGCAGGGTTGAGCTTTTGCCAATGCGCAAACGGACTTGCGACGCCGTACGTTTTTGCGTTCACGGCTGGCGAAGGTTCAGACCAAGCATTGCAGGATTGCAACATACGCGCCTGCGGGACTTGCTTTTTGCCTGTTCAGAGATTCTGTTGGCAGGAAGCCTCCCAAAGAACCGTTTGGTGCATCGAGATAAAGTGACAACAACGAAAAGCTCGTGTTTCTGCAACACCGAAAAGTATGCTACACGTTTCCTTCAGTCCTGCAGATATTGGCGATAGGTGGCGGATGCACGACGCCCGCGACCGAACGAATCTTGACTCCCGCTCGCTGCACACTGAGGATGGTGCCAACACCAACATGATGCGCGCCTTCGAGCAGCTGTTGACAAAACACCGCCAGATCAGGGGGTTCTGGGAGTCTCTCCTCGTTGCTCTGAAATCGAGACTCGAACACTATCCTACGGGAGGTTTCCCCTCCTCTACCTATACATGGCTGACGTGTGGTATCTTTTTTTTCTTTCTTTTTTTTTCACTTCAAATCAGCGCTCACAGCACTGGTGCCGTTTACTCCAACCCGTGGTCACACAGAAGAGCCCCTCTCTACCCTCCCCTCCTGCGGTACTTTGCCTTCGATTTTTAATGCGAGAAGTGTTCAGCACTCTCTTCCCTCTGTGTACACACGAACTAGCGCTATCCACTAGGCCAGGAGCGGAAGCGAGAGAAAACCTCTTTTTGCAAGAAAAGCTCGCTTACGCCGGGATTCGAACCCCTAACCTGACCTCTAGAAGGCTTCGGGGATACCAACTATACCACCGGGGCGACCGGCAGCCTTTAGTTATTACGGTATTACGGGAATATTATACACCGATCGAACGGGCCGACCGCAAGAAGTTGCGACAGGCCACGACAAGAGCAAGGGATACGAACATGGCGTGGCAAGAGGCGTGTTGGCAACTGCTGCACGCTTGCTAGACTGACTGCTGCTACTCAGCCGTAGCCACTCCTCTGCTCTTCGTCGGCACCCAGAAGGGTCCCTGCTTCAGGATTGTCCGGAGAGATTCCAGCGTTTCGTTGTCTAGGGTCCCTTGATCCTTGCAACTCATGATGGATTCCACCAACGAGAAGTGCCACTCCTTCGTGGCCTGATGGAAGAGTCGATGGTACCCGGAGCGGACGGAAGCGAGCGGTGGAGGGTGGTGGTGGGGGGATCACGTTATCGCTGATTGATATTCCTGTTCTTGAGCGTTTGCTTCCACCCCAAGTGTCGTGCTTCAGCTTGATCGAATACGTAAGAGGCAAAGAGATGGCACCCCTGCCAGACCACAACCAAGTGGGTACGGAAAGAGTCCGACACGTCCAAGGAAAGCCCTCGACGAGATGTTGAACCAAAACTACCATCTTTTGGCGTTTGCAAAAGCTTGGTTGTAGAGTAGTCGAGCATCGAAAGTCGGTCTCGGCGGGGTGCCATCTCTCCGCCTCTTGCGGCATATTTACAGGAACGAAAGGAAATCGTGCGTAATCCAAGCGTCTTGTCCTCGATTCAAAGGGGCCTGATCTACAAGAGGCTTTCAGGGAAAAACGGGCGCAGTCGCCCAACCCTCCGAGAAATAAAGGGGGGGGGTGACAAGGCACCTGTGCTGAAACTTTCAGAGAGGAATCCCCACCTCCTCCCTTTTTTTAACCCTTAAGCGCGCTGTTCGTGTTTCAACTCGACTGCGGCGAACCACACCGAAACGGACGCACCTTCGACGCCGCTGTATCGCGTTTCTCCAGGAATTCAAGGAAGCCCGGCTGGGATAACAATGCCGACAACCCCCATCCTCCTGGCTGCCAGGCGGCGCATCGCATCACGGCATAGGCCGCGTGTCGAACCTTTACCGAAGAGTGTTCCCCCCGAACGGCGTAATAAAAAACAAAAGGTACATGATTTGAGGGAGACGCACGTGGAGGAACGAGGAAGAAACGGATGGTGGACAGCAGTCGGTGGTAAAAACAGACAAGACAGAAACATGCGCACGATGGCCATTGCCGGTGCGTGTGTATGGAATACCACGCAATAACAACAACAAAGGCGTGCCAGAGGCACGCAACCATGGCAAACTTGTTCGGTGTACTTCTCGTGGTCCCCCTAGAGCTGCTATACTCTAGGGCTCCCCCACACCCCCCCCCCCG